GGGAGCCGTCCTGCTGACGGGCACTGTGTCGGGCAAGAGACTGCTGGTCACGAAAGCGTTTAGCTGGGGGAAACGCCAGCGGCACCTCAGCCAAGCAGCACGCAAGTGGAAAAGCCATCGGTGCAGAGGGTAGAGTTTCAGAAAACGTACCTCAGAGTGTTCATAATGTTGTAAATAATAGAAGAGCCTTGCACTATATTTTTAAATCTTAAGATATTAAACTTTTTCAAAAGTTTTTTTCTGAAAAGAGAGTCTATGTGTCCATTTTCTGTCACAAATTTCAGGGTCACTTTTACATCCGTAATTAACGATTTGAACTCGAAACACAGAGTTATACAAAAATGTCTCTACAGATGAAATTGGAAACTCACCAAACAGCAGAGGCTTCAAGCTGAGGGTGCGCATGTTATGGGTCCGGTCAAGAACCAGAGAAACTCTTTGCACATGTCCAACCTGAGCAGAAAAGATATAACATCCCCTGGATTACTCCATGAAAAGAGTGCTTTAAGTGAAGGAATAATGACTTGGATAGCTAACATCAACTTTAATGTCATTAAAGGCATTTTTTTTAACTTATCAACACATTTTTAACACAATTTATAAACATGTGATTATTTAAATTCTAGATAGTAATACATTGCCTTTTTTATTTAGACTTGTGTTGTAATCGTTAACTAAAATACAACTTTTACCATTAAAATTGTTTCATTCATTTAAATAAAGCTGAAACAATATTAAATGTAAATATTGAAATCATAAATAGCTCTCTCTCTTTTGGATCACTCCCTTTCTTGTCAGGGGTCACAATAATACATAACAAAAAAAAAAATGTTGCCTTAGCTACTAAGTGAAATAAAATAAGCCTGTGTTGTAGTACTAAAATTTATAAAACAAAATCTGAAATAAAGTCAAAGCTACACTGATATAGCTTTAGAGTTTTAGCACAAATAGACTGTAAACCTTATATATTTTTACCATAAAAGTTTCTCGCCGATTATATAGCCACAGTAGCTAGAATTGTCAAAAAACAAACTAAGAAGAAAACTGAAAATATAAAAGTTAAATGCTAAGTCAAAATCTTAATAAATACTAAAAGGGGATGCATATAATAAAAATTTGAACATTTTCTACGGCTGAAAATAAATGCTTAAAATTGCAAAAATTTGAATTTAATGTTTTAATTTAATGTTTTCTTTGTCTCCAGCCTTATTGTATTAATGTTTTGAATAAAAAAAATTCTACATTTAAAATGAAATGAGGGTGGAGGTGGTGATGGGGATACATTATTAATTATTTTAAACATGCACAAAATTTAAAGTCTCCACGTTTTCTATTAGTATTACAATTGTTAGTGCTGTAGGTTGAAAAAAAGCACTCTTTGTACTTGACATTAATTTACACAGTTCAGGGCTAAGCTGTATATTGCTATATAATAATTTAATTTGTAACAGACAAATATAGGAATGTCTTATAAAAATTTAAGACAAAATAAAAAAAAAAAAAAAAGCTTTTTTAATCGAAGAAAAAAAAACCACCCTGCTTTCTCAGATTTTTTTAAAGTGTTAAGGAAAATCAGAATAAGAATAAGAAACATATATGATATCAGTGAATAGCAGTGCATGTACCCGGATGCCCTCCAGGCGCGGCAGCTGGAAGGAGAGCTCAGGGCTCAGGCTTGCTGAGGATGGGATCCGGTGCTCAGCAGGCATGGGTCGAGGGGCACTAGCACTGTTCTCCAGGGGTATATCCTGCTCCCCAGACCCCGTGTTATAGTGCACATAAAGCAGCAAAGCTATGATGTTTATTATATAGAGGTGGAAGAAGGCCATGACCACCACGAAGTACGCCCTGGAGCAGACGCTGCTCTTCTGGATGTGGAGTCGCTCGCGGCCGCCTGGGTGCCGCGGTGGAGGGGGGAAATAATTAGCCTCCCCCTCGAGCTCATGCAGACGGTGCTCATACTCACCCATCTCCTAAATCACTGCTCCGCCAAGCATTGCCCTGATCTAACCTCTCGTTTGAGCAGATCAGCCGGGGTTTACAGCCAGCGGAGGTTAGCTGGTTTGACAGCTGCTCACAGACATCGCAGCCCCGAGCTAACACACGCCTACACCGCGGTTCAGATGCAGATATTGGCCACTCGTTTATAAATGCTCCATCGTGTGTGTGATGATAAGGATCTGTGCAGGAATGTCTTCAGATTTAGGACGATGTCAGCTGCTTCACAGCGCTCGTATAATCCAGTGGGCGATCAAATCTGACCAGTCATACACATCACAGATGAATTATACCAATAAAAGCGGGGAAAACGCACGATTCCGTTATAAACGAATAAAGAAAACAACAACAGCGCTTATATTCGTCTTTCATTTGCCCTACAAGCAACGCGAAGCAACCGACTCTAAGCTACAAATACCGAGTCAGGGTCATTTCAAAATAAAAGCTGGGCAGTTTGTGTTAGTTTTTTTATTTTTTGTTGAAATGACTTAGCTTAAGCTTAAATAGCTACATTTTGCGACATTTTTATTATATACAAATACTGATAATTACCTGCTGTAACTGTTTGTTAAAATACTGATGAAAGTTTAGACAATTTATTTAAATAGCCTATGTAATAATCACAGTGTGAATATATATATATATATATATATATATATATATATACTGTACATATATATATATATACACTAGTGCTGTCAGACGATTAATCGCGATTAATCGTTTGAGAGCACTAAATATACATATATAAACACTGTAGTTATATCATATATAAATATATTACATTTATAAACGTAACATATTTTTTACAAATATATACATGCATGTGTGTGTATTTATATATACATAATAAATATACACAGTACACACACATGTATTATGTAAACAAAAACTTTTATTTTGGATGCGATTAATCACGATTAATCGTTTGAGAGCACTAAATATACATATATAAACACTGTATTTTTTTCTTAATTATCGGAGTACGTTTTACAAGAAAATACCATTTTAAACCATACTTCCCATTTCTTTGTAAATATTTGTGAAATTCTTTCGGTATTTCTGAGTGAAAATGATTTTAAACTAAATCCAACCCCATTTTTTTCAGTGTAAGAAACAAGTGCATACATACATGTTTGTATGGTGCATATAAGTGCAAAAAGGTAAACATTAGAAAAATAAACAAACGAATAAATAAGCTAAATGAAAATAATATAAATTAAATCATAAATGTGATTTTTGTGAATGTGAAAAATAATGAAAACCAATACATATAAATACACAAATCACTGATAAGCCGAAGAAAGCAAGCTAAACCTCATCAATAGAATCATCAACGTCATCATAAATATTTTTTGTTTTAAAATTTCTTCACATTTTTTTGTTACAAGTTAAACAAAAACTTTTGTTTGTGATAAAAATGTATCAAATAAAACATACAAAATGAGATTATATTACTTTATTAATAGACAAACATGTTGAGGGGGAAGCGTGAAGTAAAGTGAAGTAGTCACTGAGAAGTTTGCATTATTTTGCATTAAAGGTCACATATTTTACACCTCTCTGGAGTTTTATTTTAAGTCTTGATGTCCTTAAGAATATATATTTGCGGTATAAGTACCAAAAACCATCTCAATATATTTACAGTTTAAGTCACTTCCTTGTTGGCATCACGAGAGCGAGCGGGAGGTTGCCGCTTGGTTCAAACGGAAGCTCTAGCAAAGTCCAGCGAAGGGAGGGGCGTGGTTTGAGGCTCCGCCCATCGCGCTCCAGTCAGACCAGAACACAGTCAAACCCCGGGAGAACATACCAGAAACCCCGATCAGACACACACACAGCCGCCAAAGCCATGTAAGTCTGCGCTTTCCGTGGAAAATATCTGTACTGATGTATGCGAAATACAGCTCGCCGCTGAAACCAGTACTGAAAAATTGTGTAGACTGTGAAGCTTATCGCTAGCCAGCATTAGCTAAGTTAACGTTACTTCTGTACGACTCATTCACTCCACTCCTAGTCGTTAAACTATCCGGTAACGTAGTGGAAATATCGGCGGATTTATTAAAAACTAGATCTAAGAGCATTGCGTTCAGAAATCTGTGCCATATGCTGAAATGTGTGTAATGTAAAAGTAAGCTAGCTCGTTAGCCTGTATCATCTCACCGGTGTTAGCATGTTAACTTACCTCCTTTGCCACTCAGGTCTGTTCATAAACGCGCAAATCTTTGTAAAATTGTGTTTATTTAGTATCGACAAAAGCTCAAAGCGTTGTTAATGTGACGGAGTTTTTATCCTTTAGCTTCGTTTATGGTTGAATGAATCGTGAGAATGAGCGCCTCCTGCACGTGCTTCAGGGCCAGAATGAATGAATCAATAAGTTACAATAACACACACATCCCTTTAAGAAGACAGAGATCATGTCTAAACCGCTCACCAGAAGTCTGTGATTTGAAATAAAGGTGCTGTTTTTATTTTAATGGCAGACATTCCTAGGACTCAGATTGTCATATCAGGAAGTCATGTGATCATATTATCTTGATATAAAAAAAGAAGGTCGTGCCTTGATGGTATTTCACATCAGTTAATTAATTTAGTCCTAGGGGCATGGACAGTATGAGGATTACATTTATTATGAGGATGGAATTTAGTAAATGTATTCATTAAAATTCCACTGTTGTAAGTGTTTACTCGTTGCAGAGTTAAATGGTGAGTCACTCAGTACAGCATGGGGAATTTGATACACCATCTTTTAGAGCAGGAGCAGGAGCAGAGGCAGCAGGTTGAAGTGCTGGTGTCTCACAGATGTCCATGCCACCTGCTCTTTACAGACTTTCTTATTTGTTGAGGGAATTGAGTTTTCTTTGCATGGTACAAGTAGTGTTTGTGGGGAACGTTTGATGCCTAATATTTCAGTTAGTGGTTGACTTAAGGATTTTATTGGTCAATGCTGATACTAGAGCGCAAGGTGGACAGTGCAGTTTTTAATGATAAATATTTTGCTAAGAATATCAATGGTAACCATGTGGAACAGATTAATGGAAAGATTAGGCCTATTAATAAAATATTTGTAATCTGTAATGGTTTTTAAAGAAGTCTCTTATTTATTAGATCAAAAATACAATTAAAAACGCTATTTTGCAATACAGCGAGACAAAATGTCTACCAAATTATTTTCTGATAACTTTATAGAAAGCAATATTTATACAAAAATGTCAATCTATGTCAGTACCATTCAGATTTTGCAAGTCAGTAAGTCTCTCACAAAGGATGCATGTATTTGATGATAAAATATGGAAAAAACAGTAAAATTGTGAAATTGATTATTATAATTTGAAATGAACTGCTTTCTATTTGAATATATGTTAAAATGTAATTTATTGCTGTGATCAAAGATGTATTTTCAGTATCATTACTCCAGTCTTCAGTGTCACATAATCATTCAGAAATCAGCATAATATGCTGATTTGCTGCACAAGAAACATTTATTATCAATGATGAAAACAGTTGAGCTGCTTCATATTTTTTTGTGGAAAGTGGAAACCATGATAGTTTTTTTTCTTCAGGTTTCTTTGATGAATAGAAAGTTCAAAAGCACAGCATTTGTTTGAATCATAAATATTTTTTTAACATTATAAATGTCTTTGCTGTCACTTTTGATCAATTTAATGTGTTATTGCTGAATAAAATTAATTTCTATTAGGGTTGCAAAGGGGTGGAAAATTTCCGGAAACTTTCCAAAAAATCCTAGAAAGTTTCCACCTTTTTGCAACCCTAATTTCTATTTTTTTTAAATCTTACCCCAAATGTTTGAATATATTATACAGTGAAGTGATTGCAAATAAGAGATGCTCAAAATTGCAACTTAAATTAGCACAATACTTGCTTAAATGTATGGGGAAAACAGTGTCTTTGACAATAAATGGGGAAAAGCATGTTTGTCTGTTGACAAGATATTATAACCTTAACTGATCAAATATCAGCTGATTGGTCAACATATTCTATCCAGTATTTAAATGATTATATCCACATATAAAATTGTTATCTGTAAATTACCCTATCTGTTTTAGCTTTAATTCAAATACAAATTTCCCTTATCAGGCATCCAGCAGCTGCTAAGTGGTACGACAGACGGGACTGTGTCTTCATTGAGTTTTTGGTGGAGGACAGCAAGGATGTGAATGTGAATTTTGAAAAGTCCAAATTTGGTTTCAGGTATGTTGCTGTAGCTTCAGTTATCTATGTAAAACACAAAAGGCTTTTTATTGTCATTGCCTTAGATTCTATGTTGTATTATGAGTGTTTTGTGGCTCAGCTAATGCTGTCTTCTGCTCTCTTTCAGCTGTCTCAGTGGGACGGATAACATGAAGTACTCAAATGAAATTGACCTTTTTGATTCCATCGATCAAGATGTGAGTTTAGCACACAGTGGAGAGATCCCGTTTCAGATTACCCCCAGTGGGATGCTCATCTCAGGATGAGCACATTTTGTGTAATATTTTACTTTCTATTCTCAGGGGTCCAAACACAGGCGTACAGACCGGTCGATCTTGTGCTGTTTACGGAAAGCGGCGTCAGGGAAATCCTGGCCCAGGTTAACAAAAGACAAAGCAAAGGCAAGTGCTGTTCCCTATTTATTGTCACTGCAGTATTTACAATGAACACTGTCATTATTTGATTAAGGACTATGTCAGATATCTTGACAATTTGAGCTCAAACTGTGTTGGTTTTAACAATTATCTTCTACTTTGTATTTTCTTTATTCCCAAAACTGAAAATATGCCTCTAGATAAGTACATGAATCCAAATGCCTCTAACTATGCAAGTGCAATTTTGTGCATTGTTGCAAAATATGTGAGAAGGGTATAACTGCAGCCTCCAAATCCAAACTCCAGATCTCCAAATGGGGGCGGGAACTCCAAAACGGGGTGGGAGCTCCAAAATAGGGCGTGGCTTCCTCCCATTGACAGACAGGCACATGACACGCATGCGCAATTTTTCCCCCAATCCACTTCAGTGTAAACTCCACCCCACAGCTGATTCTAAAGATTTGATTGGTTGTGTCAATTAAAGTGTTGATTTCCTACACTATGCTACAAAAAATGCTAACCCCTAAACCTACCCCACACCTGACCCTAACCTTAACCAGTGAAATTGACTGCACGGCGGGATTGGCGCTGAATAGCGTGGTAAAGAAAGTTGCAGTTCAGGAGATAAACAGTTAATAAGATTATGCGATATGAGATCGTTCCGTAACTCCCCAACCGGACCTCACCGGACAATGGCACCTTTTTAGTTACACCCAGCATCACTACCCCCTCCTACCCTGCGAATTTCGAGCCCCGGGACGCTCCAGTTGCTTATAACAAAGCGATAGAGTGAAATCTTTCCCCTGCGCTGCGCTGGGACGGCTCGCGGGAGAGCTCGTGGGTGATTCCCGTTTATATCATTAAGCAGAGGTTCAAACTCCAGTCTGAACACCACTGGCCATGAGCTTTGGGCTCTGCTCTCACGGAGAATATTTACTTATATAGCATATTTTATTTTAGATGAACTAGAAACAATGTTACATTTATAAAGTTTTATTTTAAAATGTAAGTCAATAACAATTGGCTGGAGCCAGAGCCAATGGTGAACGTCTTTGCGCGAGGAGACCACACCCCATTTAGGAGGTTCTGCCCACTTTTGGAGTTCACGCCCCATTTTGGAGATCTCCGGTCTGCAGTTATACCTACTTGAAATATGTTGGTAATGAAATTCAAGTACACACTGCATTCTCAGTGCTGCCACAAGAGGCGCTATAGTTAGATTTACTGTAAATTGTGTCTTCCATGGCCGGCTTTCTGAAGAGAATCTTGTTGAGCAAGTCTAATAGTAACGCATGTGTTTGCATATTTTTCTGGGTTTTAAAATTAAATGGTAAACCTATCAGTAGTTTGTGGCATCGTAAGTTGTGTGGCAGTGTATCTAGTTAACTGTTCTAGTATCTAGTTTTTCCATATAACCCGTTGTATAAAATCGTATCAGCCAGTGCATCCGTACTTGCATTGTTGACTGATCAAACTTGATATGCGTTAGGGCTGCACAATTAATCGAATTTCTAATCGCGATTACAGTTATGGATGCCACAATTACGTAATCGTCCAAAGTCGTAAAAAGTCCACTTATGTTATTCTGCGTGCTTAAGATTTCTACATGTTATCGTAAGGGTTTTTCCCATTGTTTTAATTTTAGTTTTAGTATAACATTATAATACCATTCATATTTTTCCTTTTTTATAATATAAAGAAGAAACCAATCCGATGTTTAGTTGACATTTGAGGCTAAATACTATAGAAAAGCACTAAAGGTTTTTCAGTTAGAGTGTTTTCAGCTTGTTTATTTTCATATAAAAATACGGCATGCAGTTGCATCAAACAATGGTATAAACATCATTCAATGTAAATTGCGATAATCGTAATTAATAATCGCAATTATAATTTCAAGGGAATAATCGACAATTATGATTTTTGTCATAATCGTGCAGCCCTAATATACGTGTATTTTGTTTGTCTCACTTGAATTTTGTCTACAGCTCAACTGGCTTAGTGTTGACTTCAACAACTGGAAAGACTGGGAGGATGATTCAGAGGAAGATTTGTCCAACTATGATCGCTTTTCAGAGGTTAGTACGTTTTAGTTTAAAAAAATAACTATAATTCACCTCCTGGCAGTATTGCCTATTATTATGGGAATTTTGTGAAGAATACGTCTGTAATGAATGTGGTGTACTGACTTGCTTTGTTGGTTTTAGATGATGGGCAACATGGGAGGAGAAGATGATTTACCTGACCTAGATGGAGCAGATGATGTAAGGTTTAATAGTTTCTTCATATGTATAATAAAGTTTAGTTTAATAGGATAGTTAATCCAAATCTTTCACTCAGCCGTATGTCATTCCAACCCAACATGTTTGTTTGTTTGTTTTTTTCATACAATAAAAGTTAAGGTGGTCCAATGTTTTAATTTTGACTTTCATATTGTTATTTTGTAAAATGAATTTGTCCATACTATGAAAGTCAGTGTGGTCCAAAATAACATTGTATAGACAAAAAACATTCTTTTTAGAATATCTTCTTTTCCTTTACACTGAGAAAAAAAAATCATACAGGTTTGTATTGTAATGACATGAGTCAAGTTTCAGCTGAAACTAGTGATGTGTTAAACCACATTTTTAATTAACTAGTTGTTTTACTAGTTGGGTTGTCTGAATGATTAGTCATCACTTTGAGGAATCCCAGTATAATTAGGTTCATTTAGGGTGGGTCCCGTCCAATCAGATGCATTTCTTATAAGAGGTGGAGCGTAACAGAATGGAACAGAACACAGAGGTCTCAACACGCTTTTGACAGGAGATGTTTTTAACCTGAAAGTACCTTAAAGGAGAGGAATTTAGAAACAAGTATTTACTGCGCTGACAGTCTAAAATGCTGACATTAGGCTAAAACAGCTCTAAATTTATCCTCTTCAAAGCACAGTAAATATTAAAACTAAAACAAAAAGATAAACAAAACCATATCACTAATTGACTATAGTGGCCCATTCCTGCCTTAAAACATGTAACGTCATTTTCCTGCTATTTAATGACTTTATATTTTTTTCAGGAATCAGCTGATAGTGATGAAGAAAGTAAGTTTTCCTCTTGTTTTTTTTTTTTTCTAGCTTGTACGTTCAGAGCTATTACTGTTTTAAAGGGATGGTTCAACCCAAAAATGTACTTTACTTTTAATATTCTCTTAATTTTTGGCCATCCATTGAAATCATTTAATCAATTGTCTATGAAATCAACATTTTCAAGCCAAAAAGTACTTGCAGACAATAAACAATGCATATGAATCAAGGGGTTTGAAGTCTTTTAAAGAAACACGACCAGTTTATATGATGAATATATTTATTGACTTCTAAACACTGATCGACACATATGCAAAGAGCACTTTAAATATGGTAAACAGAAACTCGGCTGTGCTTGCGTGATGCTTGAGAACAATCTTTACTGGTTCTTGCATGTCAGATAAGCATGTTTGAGCGCCACGATTCATGTAGATTAATTTTACGATATCATTATGTATTTTTTAAAGCCTAGACTTCCAATGGATGGACACAAAAATATATGTATTTGTTCTTACTTGCGTTTTGAAAGGCCGTGACGTTGAGTAAATGATGACAGAATTTACATTTTTGGGTGAACTGTCCCTTTAAGTGTTTTTGTATTATCTTGACTCATGCTGAAAAAATATTGAAAATGATTTACTGTCCTTCTTGATTTTCCAAAGTCGTATGACTGTTTCCATTTGAATACGGAGGTGAATTTATGAATAATTTTATAATGTCCTGGCAAGCTCTAAAAAGAAACGAAAGCACTATTGAAAGCCTAAACTCTGGTCCTCATTCTTTGTAACTGCAAGAAAAGCAACCAGTGCATAATAGATTTTCTCCATTTGTGTTTTACTGAAGAAACTTGTATAAGCTGGAACATCAAAAGAGAGTAAAATTATGACAGGTTTTTATACTTGTTAACATGCTGGTGTTTTTCTCCAGAAATGCCAGATCTGGAATAAGCGACTGGCACGTTGTGGACAGAGAGAGGAGGAGAGGGGGATGACCTAATGAAAAGAGGAAGCTGTCACCTAAATGCTACTTGATCTGAAAGAGAGCAAAGCTGGATTCAGTGAGACCGTTGAGTTCATGAGCATCAGCTCTGTCCCAGTGGCTGCACTCCAGAAGATCGTCATAAACCTCTGCTGGGAGTTAATATGCATATTGTTGTACAGAGCTTCGTTGTCCCTCTCCTTATGACCAGTCCTGGCTTTTTTTTTTTTTTATCTGTGCTAAAAACATGTATACTTAAACTGTTTGGAAAAACTGCACTGTATTCATATTTTTTTCAACTGAAAAGCAATAGATGTGATGGAAAGTTTCTTTTTTTTTTGTAAGGCATTGAAATTAAAATGAAATGTTAAACTTTGCAGAGGTGGAGAGAGTTTGTGTCTTGCAAATCCTGTGATTAAAGCATAAGAATGATTATGGATTTTGGAAACTGTAAGTTCCAGTTATTAGACATAAGACTCACTGCGCTAATATACAGTACTTCTTTTCATATGTCTCTTGAGGTGGTACCAGATTTGTTGGATGTTGATATTTTCTGACTCTCCAAAATGATCAATTTCCCCAAAGTCTATATTAGCACTGTATTTGGTATTGGACCATTAATGTCTTTCCTATTGTGACTGCAGCATGATGTTTGATGTCTTCAAATGTAAAAGATGGGAAAACAGAAAGGTATTGTATGTTTCCAATCAAATTTAAAACAAAAAGACTAAATAAGTTTTCACTATCAAAATTTAGGTGCTAGACAGGGCTATGTGTGTGCATATTGCTAGACACCTATCAATGTTTTCAAAAGAAAAAAGCTTTCGATTTTATCTACATATTTCTAATAAACTACTCAATGCTTACCTTTTCATTTTCTCTGCTGAACAGTTAAATTGACAGTTCACCCAATAATCAAAATGGCCAGCATTTACCATAGTTTCAATCCTAACTTGAGTAAAAAAATAAAAATGTGTTTTTTGTTTCTCTATACAATGAAAGTCAAAAGGGTCCACTGTTGTTTTTCAAAATAGAAAAAAGTACATTATACAGATTTGAAATAATTTGAGGGTGATAGATGATGACACAAGTTCAGTTTTAGGTGAACTGTCCAAGATGTAAATGAGTTTCTTCATCAGAACAGTTTTGGAGAAATGTAGCATTGCATCACTTGCTCATCAGTGGATCCTCTGCAGTGAATGGGTGCCGTCAGAATGAGAGTCCAAACAGCTGATAAAAACCACAATAATCCACAACAGGACTCCAGTGCAGTGAAAAGCTGTTTTTGTAATAAACAAATCCATCGTTGATGGACTGGAGTCCTGCTGTGGATTATCTTGGTGTTTTTTGACTCATTCTGACGGCACCCATTCACTGCAGAGGATCCATTGGTGAGCAAGTGATGTAATGCTACATTTCTCTAAATCTGTTCACATGGACAAACAAACTAATCTACATCTTGGATGGCCTGAGAGAGTATATTTTCAGCAAATTTGAGGAGAAATATTCCTTTAACAGATACAACTTTAGATGTGAACAATATTAGTACATGTTGAATTGAGCATTAATAAATGCTTTAGGAGTATTTTTCATGTTAACAAATGGAACCTTATTGTAAAGACTCCTCCTTCAGGCAACCTGGCTTCAGTAACTTGTTCAAGGGTATAGTGGTGATAATGGGATATCTGAGCAAGCATGAGGTACAATTGTTTTTACTTGCCAATTCCGTATTTCCAGAGGCGTACTTAATAAGCATCCACAACTCGCGCGTTCATACATAATTTCGCCGCGAGGTCAAGAAGGAGGTGCTATAATGAGGATGATGATGGGTTCATAACGACGCGCGCGCTAGGCTTATGGCGCCATGCGGACACCTCTCACTTCACACCAACCCTTAGCAGGGTGTAGCCTATGTATCATTTTCTGCCATGCTAAATGCGGTCGCCTATTTAAAAAGGGGATATTCTTTATTAATGCAGTCGCTTACATATTGGATGAATGGCATGGCCTCTACCTATATCAGTAGAGGACCATCACTTCCTACAGCCGCATTGTGGCTGCGCATCCATTCCTCTCCAGTGACTTCAGACTGAGCATCACCGCGCTGGGCCCTAAAGCCTGAGAGCTTTCTGTTCCGCTCGATAAACACACGACGTCTTCCCAGGCCCGATCACTGAGGGTGCTTCTTAAATTAGTGAGGGTGCTCTAACTATATATATATATTTGCGCCATAGCAACGGATGCCACTAATATATATAGTGGCGTCCGTTGCTATGGCGCAAAGAGCGCTCTGTTCATAATCACTAAAAAAGCTGTCACTCACCTTTGTTCATCTTTCAATGGATGGAGCAAATAGCTGCAGACAAATGTTCCTTTTTAAGTTTTGGATTTTTACCACTGTTGGAGCTGCTGTATAAGTAATTTTTTGGAGTGCCACCACATGTGTAAAATGTGTGTAAAACTGACCACACACTTGTGTCTGTGTGGCAGCCCTATAGGACATACGAGCAGCAAAAATGACGCCCTGTCCCAAATGAAACCTAAAATGTTACATGGGACACCTGTCTTATGGAGTCGTACAGTCATATGCGATGATGCTCATCAGAATTCCTTAAGAATATGATTTGAGACAGGGCCAGAATCTGACTGGGGCCCTATGTATTGGCCAATCAGAGGCAATATTACACTGTAAAAAATGACCGTGAATTTAACGGTAAAAGACTGTAAAAATGCTACATTTAACTGTATGTTTAAGTTAAAACCGTAAAACCTAAAACGTTGCTACCTTATTTTTTACGGTAAAATTCCGGCAACCACAGCTGCCTTTTTTTACTGTAAATTTTACGGAATTTTTTTTACAGTGTATTATATAAATTTACTAGCAATTTCATAGTGAAAATTCTTACTGTTATTTTTTCAGTGTTGAATTTTCAGCATCATTACTCATTAATTTTCAGTGTCACCTGATTCTTCAGAAATCATTCTAATGTGCTAATTTGCTGCTCAAGAAACATTTCTTATTATTATCAATGTTGTAAAAAGTTGTGCTGCTCTATATTTTTGTGGAAACCGTGATTGTCCTTTTTCAAGATTCTTTTATGAATAGAAAGTTTAAACGAACAGAATTTATTTGAAACAAAAATGTTTTGTAACAGTATGAATGTTACTATTTTTTGGCCAATTTATTGCATCCTTGCTGAATAAAACAGCAATGGAAGACAGACAGAGTATTTGGGAAAGCTTTTCCGTATATTTGCAACTGAATATGAGAATATCATAATAATAATTTTTCCACCAATAGGGGCTTGGGAAAGTCAACCAGTTTTGTATGGGTATTCATCAAATCTAACTGTCTGTTCAGAAGCTGCTTTGCATAATTTTAAAAAGAGTTATTTTTTATGGAAAATAATACTTTAAAAGAATATGCAAACTGAATGAAGCATTTTCTGACACTTAACTGCATGTTAATTAAATGAAAATGTATTATAGTTTACATTTATATTGCATGCAATTAATTGAACTTAAGAGTGTTTTTGACCCATTTAAGTAGGACATCTTTATAATTTTAATACATCTTTGTAATTTCATAATTACTTTTATTGTGTGTGGAAATAAAGTGTACGGCTGAATGTACTGACAAACATTTATAATAAAATATACTTTAATGTTGATACGTCATGTAGGCCTATTAAAAATATATTTAGGCTATAATTAGGCTACACATTTGTAGCAGAAGTTTCAATTTAGTATTTAAAACATCCATCCATCCATTCTCCAAACTGCTTACCCTCTGTAGGCTCGCTGGTCTTTTAAAATACATTAACATTAAATGTAAAGTCAAATAACACTACAGTTAAAATAATAATCAAGTAGCCTACTTCTCTGAAGCAAGACAAAAGATTATCTAAAATGATCTGAAATGTAAACCTTTCAGTTTGACATTATTACAAATGACACTTTTTAAAAGTGTATTTAAGTGTTAAGAAACAATCATGAAAATGAACTCTCTTTATATACACTTAAGTGGCCTTCAGTAATATTATATGTGACCCTGGAGCACAAAACCAGTCTTAAGTCGCACGGGTATATTTGTAGCAAAAGCCAAAAATACATTGTATGGGTCAAAATGATCAATTTTTCTTTTATGCCAAAAAGGATATTAAGTAAGTCAAAATGATAAATTTTTCTTTTATGCCAAAAAGGATATTAAGTAAAGGTCGTGTTTTTAAAAATTCCTACCGTAAATATATCAAAACTTAATTTTTGATTAGTAATATGCATTGCTAGGAACTTAATTTGGACAACTTTAAAGGTGATTTTCTTAAAGGGGTCATATAATGCTGCTAAAAAGAACATTATTTTGTGTATTTGGTGTAATGAAATGTGTTTATGCGGTTTAAGGTTCAAAAAACACATTATTTTCCACATACTGTACATTATTGTTTCTCCTCTATGCCCCGCCTTTCTGAAACGCGTCGATTTTTACAAAGCTCATCGGTCTGAAAAAGCGAGGTGTGCTGTGATTGGCCAGCTATCCAGTGCGTTGTGATTGGCCGAATACCTCAAGCGTGTGACGGAAATGTTACGTCCCTTACCATACTGTGATGCTTGCGGCAACCACATGTGACGACCCCGGGCTGGACTCCGCTTCGTCCACGGTGAAAGCCGATCCGGCGATCCACAGCACTAAGTTGATGTATTTCCTCAGCGACCAGCACAGATAAGCTCCAGGCATGACGAAGCGATATCGTCCTCTTTTGGAAGGCCAAACAAAGTAGTTTCGCTTTCACAACGAAACACAAGCGTCTTCACGACATGGCGGCTGCAACAATACTACAGCGAGAATAAAAGTTACACCTTCTTTCTTTGCGTGAACATTTGGGCGGTGTTATGCAAATCTTCCCACATAGTGAGGTAGACATGTGGGGGCGTGTTAGAACTAGCCGTTTTAGGTAGGCGTGGTTGACTCTGAACTTTTATAAAGAATATCTCTTTGGATTTGAGACTTCAGTCTTTGCAACTTTACAGATCTTCTTTATTTACCAAGAGCTTGTAACACTCCAAAGAGAAAGGAACAATTGAAATCGCATCATATGACCCCTTTAATATTTTGATTTTTTTTTTTTTTTTGCACCCTCAGATTCCAGATATTTAAATAGTTGTATCTCGGCCAAATATTGCCCTATCCTAACAAACATACATAAATGAAAAGTTTACTTATTCAGCTTTCAGATGATGTATAAATCTCAATTTATGACTGGTTTTGTGGTCCAGGGTCACATATGGCCTTCGGTAATATTATATAATCTGATTTAAGTACACTACAAGTGCACATTCATGACAATCGTGTTCACAGGGGTATTGTGGTCCATGCACAGCTGTTTTCTGAGAGACTGGCTCGTGTCAGAGGGCAGCGGTCTCCTCTTCTCTGCCGCGGTCTCTGCAGTGCATCCAGCCGGCGTTAAGACCCGGAGGCGCGCGGTCCTTCACTTCCTCTTTCGGCTCGCTCTCTTTCTCTCGTCTGTGATCATGGCTGCGCTCAAACATTACCAGCCATGTTTGCAAATCTGAAACCCAAAGGTTAGCGATTTACGCGTTTATTATTTACATCGCGTACACCCTCTTCATCCACATCGGTCTTTTGCCGGGGGCCACACTCCCCGTCTCCTGTGCGATCGGCAGGTATCAAGGTTGGGCAGTTTTATTATCATTATACGGGGAAACTTTTGAGAGTGTGTTGTGTGGGTGATGCTGCCTCATTTTCTCTTAGCGTAAATCGGGAAGATAACCTGAATTAATCAACGAAACATGACCTTGTGACACGAGATGATAAACGTCTGTTTTTAACGTCGCATTTGTAGAGGCGAGCTTTAAAAACACGACAAGCCTCCTCTAATGGCTTACAGCTCACAAACTCTATTGTATTTATATAATCAGTCCGTTTTATCTGTACGTTTAACGTCTTTAATTATTTAAATAACGCACAAACCCGTGGTTATGTAAATAAGACCTGCTGCTTTCGTTTACACCACTTTCGTCGACGATTAAACACTGTTAAATTGATTTCGAGCCCAATTTCATTCATACGTCAAAATATTGAATGAATATTAATGCTAATCGGCGATTATTGTCTCATAAACGGTCGCGAGGAGTCGTTGTGATGCGGGACGCAGGCCTCGTTTTGTCCCGGCGTCGCCGCTGATGTCAACCGAGCACTTTAATCAAACTTCATATCAAAATAGCATTTTATAAGTGTCTGTATATCTCTAGCTTTTCATTATGTACATCACTAAAACGTCTTCCCGTTATCTTTATTTGCGGTCATATGTGTTAATACATAATTACTCTTTTATCTTAAAGCAGTGTCTTTTTTGTGTTTGTTGTTTGGCCGCATCTCGTTTGCTTTTCTTCGTTTTATGGGTTAATTAATGATCGTACAAGAGTGCAATTATATTAAAGAGAACGAAGGAACCGAGCTAGATCAGATATGAGCTGGTTTACCCTGAGCTGTGGTGTTTTAGTGTTGGAGAAGTTTTATCAAATGTGGATATATATTTATATATATATATATGTATATGTGTGTGTGTGTGTGTGTGTGTGTGTGTGTGTGTGTGTGTGTGTGTGAGAGACATCAGAAGCAGCGCATGGTCATGTGCGTTGGTTAGCCTCCATGCTAGCCGATTCCCACATCTCCCTCGTTTCTTTATTCACATTTCCCGCTTGATATTTAATTAAACATCACTCTTTCTTCGTATGTGTTGCTTTTTAGTGGCGTTATGTCGGCCGCACGGCCTTTCTGAATGAAATCGCACAGTTTTGAGTTGGATGTTTACAGTTAGCCGTGTGGCTAATGATGGACACGCATAAAATAATTAGCGCCGCCGGATTTGATCTAAATGCATAAATCTACATGAGGTCGTTTTAATTAGATTTTATAAAAATGTCCAGGACTGACTTGTTATTATGTGTCAGGTGTAATCGTTGAGGTTGAGGCTGGCGTTCAGCATGAGAGCTGAGTGTGAGATGTGTGTTATTTAACGCGATTGCTCGGGCATCTCATCGGCTTTATCTGCGACATTTTATGTTGAGATGTGAAGAGCAATATTTGTGATGTCCGCCGCAGCAGTGTTCACTGGCTGCGTCTCAAAGCCTCGCACACCGGCGACCTGCACAGCGTTCTGGGCGTCATCGGTGCGTTCCGAGCGTTCGGTGTGTGCTCAAAGATGCCGAAAACCCCATTAGAACGTTATGTACGCGCCAGCAATGCTGATAAATGCCGTAGAGTTAGGCAGAGCGCTAGTTTTTGAGACGCAGCCGCTGTCTTTAGCACTGTGGTTCATGAACGAAGGTTGGATGAGAGTTTGAGTGCAGATTTCTAGTACAGAAAGATGAGAAGGATCTGCCTATTGTTTAAAATAGTAATTGTGGTATTAGTAAAGAGTTGAAATGTGAGTCAGGTTATTTGGAATAATTTATATTCATTTTTCCATGACTCTGTGGGTTTAACTTTTTTATTTCACTCAAATATTTATGCCACAAAAATGGATTGTCCACTGATCCACTTTATCCACTTTTTTTTTTTTTGTAATGCTGTTTTTAATGGTTTGACAGCTGAATGACAGACACCAAGGCAAACAAAAGCACAACCTATTGAGTTGTTCGAACTGTAAAAGCATGGACCTAGCAACACCAAGGTTATAGGTTCGATTCCCAGGGAATAACTGAACTGATGTTGTTTCGTATAAAACTGTCTGCCTATAT